GGGACAGCTTCATGAGCATGTGACCAGGGCAGCTGGTGGGTGAAGGGGTTACCTGAAGATTAATGTAGCCTTGTGTGATATTCTTAAAATTCTGTGTTTGAATTTGTGTTTTGAAGGTTAAGTGCAATGGAACAATGGAGTGTGAGGCTAGAGCCTAAAGCCTTGACTGACATTCAATCTCCCCTTCTATTCTGTGCCCAAGACTGGTTCTTGAGGACCTGCTCATCTTCCTGTAGGGGTCTAGGCCTCACAAGCCTCCCCGCTTACTCTTCCTGTGAGATCAGGACAGCAACCAATCACATCTGTTAGAGGGGGCACACCCCATGGATGCCATTGCCTTTTGCTCCGGTATGGGGCCCAAGTGGAGTTATGGGGAATCAAGGATATGCTCCACACCATCTGGCTGGTGCATGATTGTGATCATCTCCATTCAAAGACAGGCAGCACCAGGGCACATTCAACTCATGACAGGTCATTCCACCACTCAAATGAAGACACCAAAAATTTCCCAATCGTAATTGCTTGATATTTCCAGTCTGGACATTGCTATTGTTTAGAAAGAAGGTTTTCAAAAGGGTAGACTGACTTCTTTACAGCCAGCTGGAGCCTCCTTTTGTCACCTCATGCCCATTCCCAATACTGCTACTTTAATTCAATTGTTCATTATGACATCATATTAGACTTCTAATTATTTTTGCAGCTCTTCCCTGTTCAATCCACTGAGCAATCATCACCAAATTACCCAAAACACCACTGTGATCTGTAAAGATGTCTTTAAGGACTTCTGTGGCCTACGGTTAGCAAACTCTTCAGGCAAGTGGTCTTTTTTGTACTGCTGCTTTAATTTATACATCAAATTAAAGCACTCACTGTCTCCTCTACATATCTTATACTTGTTCATCACTTTGTCTCTACTAAAGCCGTTTTTGCAGTGTCTGGTTCACTTCTCCTTACTGTACAACCATCTCAAATTGGGAATTTTAACTCTTCTTACAGCTTGAATGGTACCTCTTCTATGAAGTCTTCTATCATAAGCAAAGTCACATAATGAATCCACTCCAAGAGAAATATCATTTAGCTTTGCCATTTAAATACAGATTGATAGTAGCTGTCTATGCAGAGCACATTGCCCTTGACTGTAAGCACTGGGAGGACAAGAAGCATGCCTTTCCATCTCTGTACCCACCCAAAAGCTCCCCACTGGGGGCACTGGATATAACGGGCTCTCAGTGCCTCTCTGCTGAGTCTGGTGAACAAATGAATCTGTTGTATAAACAGATCAGATCTTCTGAAAGCACACCTGGAATTCTTTTGCGTCATAGCTTTTTTCCTTTCCACTCACATAACAAAACATTCTGTTGCTTTTCAGACACAACTCCATCAAACACCTGTATCATCATTATCAACACTAACACAAATTCAACTCACACTTTTATTAATGTTTAAAGTATTATATTCTGAATGTTTAGAATATTTTCAAAGAGAACACCTGTTACTTGAGTGCTCTTATTTTCAACCTCTTGAGGGCAATTTATTCATTACAATATTAAAGTGAGCTGTTTAATAACTTACAACTCAGGGAGAAAATATAAATTATAGCCACTATCATCAGACTGCATACCTAAAATTAATTTGTTTTTCCACTTGCAATTCTTTATTAATCTCCTTATTTCAAGTCCCTTTTAGGACTAATTAAGAAAAATAATGCAAAATAATGAAATAAACAGAGGGGAGTTCTTGCTGCTGAAGTTTTATTCAACTTCAGTACTTCATTAAATATGCTCCCCTTGGCTCAGAATGCATGTGTATCATCACAGTTTCTTCAGTGTCTGCAATGCCTTTTTCCTCATGCTATGAATGTTTGGTTCCTTCTTTCACAAGCCTTGCCTGTCTATCCACTTGTGTAGCACATCCAGTCACATCCTCTCACCATTTTCCTCCTAAAGATGGTCAATAAATATCAAGAACAAGACCATTAATCTAGCAAATGATTAAAATTTTAAAAACTATGTGTGGTAAAAATTTCTTCTCCTGAAATAAAAAAAGTACACAAGCTGAATCAAAGCAGGAACATCTCAAGGCCAGACTGGGCTACAAAGTGAGTTCAAGGTCAGTATGAAATATATAGAGATCTTATCTCAGAAAAAAAAACACTAAAAGAAGATCTTCAAGATGTATTGTATTAGTTTATAAGAAGTTATTTAATTTTTACATAAAATGTTTTATATATATATTACATATGAATGAAACTGCATTATAATTAAAACATGCAATTGGAAGGTTGTTGGATTCCATTATGAGAAATCTTTAAGAGCAGGAAATGGAAAGGACAGGAAGAGCGTTAGAACTGGCGAAAGATACAAAATTAACACAACTCTAGAAAGTTTATGATGCATGAATTAGTAAAATAGTGCAGAACTTTTGAGAGACTACGTTGAGAGTTAGTAGCTACATTTAGCAAAATCATAAGTACAGAGTAGAAGATTACCTATTTTGATATTCCTAGAAGTAAAGTTAGTTGTAAAATACTCAGAAGCAGAGCATGGCTCAGGGAAAGATTAGGCTGGTCAGAATGTACTGAGTTCTCATTATTCTCAGATGAGTAGAAAAATTTCAAATGAAATAAAGAGAAAAGTACTAGCAAACTATCACCACAAACTGCTACCATTTCTTGAGTAATTGCACCATGCCAGGTATTGTTTCAGGAGCTTTGATGAAGTATTTCATTTTATTTTCTCAATAAGCCTTGCCAAGTAGGTGTTATTATTTTCATTTTGTTGATGGGAAAATTGAGACTTTGGGAGATAAACAATTTTCCCTAGGTCACAACAATGATGACAATAGTCTAGTAAAATAAAGAAAAGAGCAGTTTTATTGAAGAACAGTACCATAAATTAAGAAAAACACCACCAAATTAAAATTGTACAAATACACCATAAAAGCAAAGTGATCCAAGATCCTAAACCGTAAATTCCCCTTCTTGCCTTTCGTTAGCCCTCCAACAACCAGGTCTTACTTATGGCTACCATACTACACTCTTTCCCAATGTCAAAGTCCAAATATTAAACAGCAAGTTTGCTTTACAGAGTCTGTCTGCACAGTAAGGGCAGAGCTCACACAAAGCAACAGCTGCTGGAAAGCTGATTTTCATTGCCTGTGATAACACCCACAGCCACAATGCTAGGCAGCAGGAAGACAAGTTAACTGCTGAAGAGATCAAGAACTATGCTCTTGGAAAAAGGGCAGTATATTAATAGCATTAAAAAAACATGTGGGGTTAAGAGAGGACAATTAGAAACAAAAACTATAGAAATAAGAGAAAATTGGAAATGTCCTAGAAAAGTAAACACAATAAAGAGGAAAGACTGCACCTCCAAGCTTTAATAAGCATCATCCAACTAGAAATGAATTCTTTTAGTCCAACCACACAATAAGGATAAGGAAATACTGTAATAGGAAAAATATTAGTAATGCATTACCAATATTTTATAGAATCTTCAACATATCAATTAGTATTTCTTATTCTATTTCTTCTGATGGGTTTCCCAAGATTGTAGAGAAATAGACACTTGTTGAAAATCTTTAATTGGTTATCGGACCTAAGCCTAAAATATCTCCAGGAAGGAAAAATGAATAATGCACCTACTGTATAACAAAAGGACTACAAAAATAGTATTTTGACAGGTATCCCTTAGTATTTAAAGGAGTAAGTTGACAGATAGCTTACAAAAATGACATTTTTAAACTACAGTCAGTTTTCTATGTAAAATTGTAAAGTTTCAGACAAAATTGAGAAATTTTCACATTTAATGTTCCTGTCAACCACTTTTGCTATTCTGAACAACAGCAACCAAACTTTTACAAGGCAAATACCACTCTAAAACTACTGGAAGCAGTAGTCTTTATGATTTTTTTTTTTTTTTTTTTGTCTTTTTCCTTTTTATCGGTACCGGGGATCGAACTCATGACTGCCTGCTTCCAAGGCAGGTGCTTATGCCGCTGAGCTAAACCTCCAGCCCCAGTAGTCTTTAATTACTACAAAACATTGATAATCACGGATAAGAACTTTTAAAATCTTACGAACTCTGAAGAAGTCTCATAGAAAGTGACAGCTTCAACGTGTGTAGGAAATAATACTAAAGAAATTAAAATTAACTGGATTTCAGGTCCAGCATCTGACAAGTAGTTCAAATCACTGTGAAAATGAAAGGTTAGGAAAACTAGACAACTGCCTGTTGTTTTTTCTTTTCCATATCAAATGATTTTGTTTACCCTACTGATTGCCTCTGGAGCTGCTAAAACATGATCAATATTTCTGTTTATTTTATAAGCTAAAACTCTATTTGCTGAGCCCTGTTAAAAACTGGCTATAGAGAATGTTGTATGGAAGCCTAAGGATAACCAAGCCCTTCTGTTTGTCCCACTTCTCGAAACTCAACAACAGAAACAATTAAATAGATGCTAAAATGACACAAATGGGTTCGAAGTCTGTTCCTCTCTGACTTTGTTCTCTTTACCTCTTCTTTCCTACGTTGGACCTCATGGAAGTTTAAGCTAGAAAAAGAGATAAGGAAGTACTTAGGTATTCTCCCTTTCCAACCCTGAATTGGAGAATAAAAAAGCATTTTGGTCCTCTAAAAAATGAGAGATAACAAAATACTCAAATTTTCAGACTTAACACCGGAATTCTAGAGCAGACATGCTTCCCTAGCACTGTAAAATCATGAAATAAGATTCTTAATGGCAGAATACTTTGGGAGGGAAATGTGTGATGTTACTATATCATATATGCACTTCCCATAAGCCACCATCACCCCATACCAAAGATACTGTAACAGGTCTAACAAGTCTAAAAAGGCTAATCTCAAAGATGAAATTTAAATAGCAATATTATATTGTGAAGAGTCTAAATGAATGATGTTCCTGGATGCCAAGGGTAATGGAAGACTTGGCTCCCAAGCCAGAAGGCTTGGGGAAAACAGGACAATGCAAAGTCCTACCTGGTAGGCATCAGGAATGTTGACGGTTTCTCCATGCTCCCCGACATAGCCAATGATGCCTTTGCCCCAGGGGACCTGCACCTCATTTGAGTTCTCTGTGCTGCTGCATGGCAGCAGTGGGGTTCCTGCATGCACGTCGAAGAACTTAGAGACCAAGCTCTTCTTGCCAGCAGCTGCCCCTTCCACTAGGAAGAGAGAGCAGCGGTCAGCATCCACCATGAGACAGACAAAGATGAGGATCTTGTAGCTCAGGCTGGTGAGGTCAAGGTCATTGGAGATATCCTTGACCAGTTCCAGGAAGAACTGACGCTCATTGTGCTTTTTGAGGTGACACTTGTAGTCGATGGCTGGAGGGGGATACTGAGGCAGATTCACCCTTGATTCCAGCAGGGCACTGAGGATGTGAGCTGTGGTGGGGGGCAAAGAGCTGGCCTTCCGGAGAAGTGCCCTCCGCCGAACACTGCTCAGGGGCTCCTGGGCCCGGGAAGTCACCTGTTCATCGTAGGTCCTGTTCACATGGATGGCCTTGGAGCGAGCAAAACTCTTCCTCAGCTCTTTTTGAGAGGCTCTCCGCTGCAGGCTCCCATCGCCCCGGCAGCCACTGGCCCAGCTGGGACTCAAGGGAATCCCGCCACTGTCCCCACCGCCAGGAGTGGGTTGGCTGCTGGCAGAGCCATCTGCTCCGGTGCTGCCACCAACGCTGCTGCAGCCTCTGCCACTGCCAGAGGCCATGCCACCCGTGCCAGCTGGAGCAGGCCTGGAGCCCGGAGCACCCTGACCCTGACTGTGTCTCTGCAACCACTTCTCCACCATCTCCTGCTTCCCTTTGCGCATCAAGTAATCTTCAAACAACTCTGGGTGCCGGTCCAGGAAAGTTTCCACCTCCCCGAAGTCCAAGCCAAAGCTTGTCATGGTCCTGAGCACCGCTCTCCTGGGCTGTCTACCCTTGGAACAAACGTTTACCTGCCCCGAGGAGGAGGAGGACCAGGAGGAGGAGGAAGAGGAGGCCTCTAGCTGTTCATACACATGCTTCCCCGCCACAGCATCCCCAGCTCGGTGCCACCCCTCAGCCCCGCCTTCAGGTTGTTCCCAACGGTGGATCCCAGCCCGGGGAGCCGGGTCCTTCTGTGGCTTAGAGCGGCCGGCACCGACTCCACCCCCTCGGTCCTGCTACTTCTGCTCAGCTCAGGTGCCCGACGGGCCGCCGCCGCCACCGCTCCTTCGCGGAACCCGAGCTGCGGCTGCTCTCGCTTCTGCCTGCTGCCGCCGCCGCTCTGCCACCGCCGCCGTAACCAGTTGAGTGGACCACAGAGAGAGGGAGGTGGGGCAGGACACGCCCCGGAGAGCCGCAGCCCGCCGGGGGGAGCTGCGAGGAGGAAGCAGGCGCGGACGAGCCAAAGTCCACGGCCAGGATGCCAGGCTGTTCCGGGAAGAGTCTCTGGACCGCCAGAGGCTGCGCTGGGGACACAGCCCACTCTGGATTGGACTTGGATGAGAAGAAACACCTAATTCCTCCCCACTCAGTCCTTCCTTACCTCCCCAGTCCTCCCTTTCCTCGCCCCCTGAATCTTGAGCTTTTCACCAGGGCCCCTGGGGCCCATTAAGAGCCCTCGCTCACACGGAGAACTGTTGATGTTTTGCAAGGATCTGAACCCAGAAGCAGACTCCGCGGTAAAGAGGACTCTCAGAGACAAGCAGGCTTTTTTTTTCTGGGGTAAGACTGGGTTCTGCTGCTTCTCAGGATTCCTGGGACTGCCCAGTACTTCGTGGGTGTTCAGTAAATGTTAATGGAACTGCATTTCCCCGAAATTACCCAGTCAAGTTTCCTGTGACAGCGGCTCTTTAACCGAACTCACGGATGGGGCGGGTGGGCATATGCAAGGAGGATACAAAGCAGTGACTCGGTTTAGAATCCCTGCCTAGCAGGGCCTTAGAGCGCGTGGATGGGAGGGCCTCAGGGGACTTCCTTCTGGCCAGACCGGGACACCGGACAGTTCTCTTCCTTTCTTGAATTACTTGCCATCTCCTCTTCCTTTCTCCACTCAGTCTCACAGGGCCATTGATGCTTCCTTTATTCTCAATGTCCCAAGGCTTATGCACAAAGATCGCTCCTCTCTATAGGGGAGGCAGTTCTTTCTTCTGTCGTGGGGAATGCTTTAGATCTGGTCAATCAGACTGAAAATACCATAAGGTTTCCCTTGGACCTTTTCTAAACCTAATGACTAAACCAGGTGGTTAGCAGGAAAGAGAAGCACCTTGATGACACTTTCTTGAAGCCTAGGGGATTCCTCTTTTGCAGAAACACAAAAGCAGGTGAACAAGCTGGGATAGTAGGCCAACCTGGGATGTCCCACATGCAAAGAGCTGCAGAGGAGACAGGTCCAGACTTCCACAAGGCCTCCCTGCAGCTCCCCCACATACATGACTCCCACAGTGAATAAAACTTGCTCCCAGAAGACACCGCAGAGTCAGGCAGACAAGGTGCACTGAGAACTTGCTCTGAGTTGATCACTTTCTAGTAACATATCAATGTAATTTGTTCAACACCTTTTAAAGATGAGAAAACTCTGGGAAGTTGAATAATTTAACTCAAGGCACACAGTCAATCGGTCAGAGCTGGGATGCATATACTTTCAGTTTGGCTCCAAATGAGAGTCACTCAGCCCTGTTACTGGATTCTCCTTCATCCTTGTGCACCGTGTACTATCCGTACTGCAGGGACGAAGTTAAAATATACTCTGCACATCCCCCTGACAGGACAGGAAACCCAGAGGGAGAAAGACAGGCATTTGTTTAAAAATTTCAAATTTCTTGGCTTAATCAGCAAGGCAAAGGGCATGGCCTTGGCACTGGACACAAGTGTGAGTACAACAAAGATCTGCCCTCAAGGGGCTTACGCAATAGTGGGAAAACAGTCAGAAAATCAATGTACAGAATAAGAGAATATCAAGGATAAGTGCTATGAAGAAAACTAACCTTGGTAAAAGATTCGATATGGGGATGCGATGGAGGAAAAGCCTTTCTGAAGAGGGAACACCTGAGCAGAGATGTGATGGAAACGAGCAAATAGCTTTGTTGATAACTGGAACAAGAGAGTGCCAGGTAGAGGAAGCATGTACTAAAACTGTGAAATATGTTTGAACTATTTAAGAAATGGCAGGGAGATCGTCCAGGAGAAAGTGAATCAGGCATAGAATACTGGTAGTTGGGAGCTGATGACTAACAAGATGACCTGACCAATGATGGAGAATTAAAGGGAAAAATACTTAGCACAGTGTCCACCACAGAGAAGGGGCTCAGTGAGTGGTAGTTAACCTACTACTTTTGTTTTATTGTTATTATCCTAATATGATAATATGTGGAAACCTCAAGGCAGGGGGTCATATTTCTGGTCATGTGAGTGATCTACCAGTAAAGATAGTTAGTGGAATGCTGGAAGTGCCTCATAGGAACTGACAAGAACCTATTTTAGCTCCTTTTCCATTCTGTGTTCATTTGTAACATGTAACCAGCAATCAGCCATGATGGAAATGTTTGCACTGTGAAAATCAACAAATGCTCCAAGTCAAAATTTTTTTGTACTCATCTAGTTGTTAAACCATTAGGAGTATTCTGGAGAAAGAATCTAAATGTCCATCAATTAGTGGATAGAGTAAAATGTGACATATTCATATAGTGAAATACTGTTCAGTCATAAAAGAAAAAATACTGATACACACTACAACTTGGATATACCTTAAAAGCATTATGCAAAGTAAAGGAAGCCATTTTGTATGATATCATTTATACAAAATGTTCAGAATAAGAAAGTTCATGAGGCAGAAAATTGAGTACTCTCTGAATGAAATGCAAGCTGAATAGTGGGGTTCAGGGTTTTGTTTTTTGGGGGGAGAAGGTAATGGAAATAACCTAAAATTGTGGTGGTTAGTATGTTAAAGTTTAAGGACATATACATTTTAAATTAGTACACAGAAGGGTATGTAAATTATATCTCAATAAAGCTGTTGTAAACATCAACGAAACCATTTAGTAAACTAGTAAATGTACAACAGCCCTCTCATGCATGATGGCAAAAAAGCACTAAACAGCCTCAACAAAGGAAGAGAAATGGACCAGCGCTGGGTTGACTGGGAAGAGTTTTAAGAAAGAGATAGTTCCATGTACTCATTATACAAGCAATCGTTTAGTATTTACAATGTTCCAGGCTCTGAAGATAAAAGAAGACAAAGAACACCTCTGCTTTTGATGGAGCCCTTCTGTTGACAGCACCTAGAGAAGTGGGAGTAGAGCAGAATACTGGAAAGGATGGGGAAAGCAGTAAGAGATGTCTGGGAAATGAATTTGGCATTTGTGAGTTGTTTCTAATTGTCTGTAAGCTTTGTTCCCTGCTTGGCACTTAAGGTCATTAAGAAAGTTAGTGGCTGAGAAAGAGAGTAAGAATGTGACAGAAGATATTCCAGAATTTCTATTTCCCTTTCATTTTCAATCTGTACAACTGTATGTGTATTAGTCATATTCTCAACAGGAGACAGAACACACTCAAATTAATTCTGGAGAATTAATTTACAAAGAGGTAATTACAGGGAATATATAAAACACAGGGATAATGAAGGAACCTGAAAATCTAAGCAGAAAAGTCTCCACCCCTAGAGCTGATGAAGGGAGAAAGAGAAAGGTTACCGGTATCCAGAAGGAGAGAACTTTCTGTAGTGAACAACTACTTTGAGGGTGATGTGATGACCTGTAAAGAGCATTGACAGCTTAAGATGACTTCAGAGGAGTTGATCAGGGACAAATACCTTGAATTCATTCTTCTCCCACCATCCTTTCACTAACCAGAGTAACTGGAAGCTACATGGTGTGGCAGCCTGCTGACAGAATCCATATAGGTCAGCTCCCTGGGTAGAAAGTAAGGAGACAGTGCATCTGTATGAGGTCTGGAGGTAAATGGAAAACACTTATCCCAACCATGGAATCCTGAAGAAGTATCTTTAGGAATGAAATAAAAATATTTCCCTTTAGGAAATATAACACCAAAGAATTTTCTGTGTAATTCTGCCCTCTTCTGCTCATCTGTTAATTCCATCAAAACAGTTACAATAAAGTCTCCCACAATATTTGAAGGCTATAGAACCCCTTCACTGACAGAAACTAGCATATCTAAAAAAGCACGATACTGTGAAAATAGATACGATATTGTGAAGGTATTGTGCAGTCAACAGAATCCCTTATGACACTGTCATACCCCCAAAAGGTATAATATTGTAAAGGAAAAGCAGTTAGTTCCAGAAAATGTTCTTCATACTCTTTCCTACCTGTCCTCCAACCTCTAAATACTGGTCCATGTGTCATCTCACTAGAAAAGATAAAAAGATCTTCCTATTTGACTTCCAAAGAAGGCCAGTTACATTTTAGCATTGGATAGAACCTTAGTAAACATCTGTACTACACTTTCAGACACATAATTTCTCTGTTCCTGGTGCCATGTTTTCAGCATTGCACAGCTTGTTACTAATATCTCTAAACCCAATAAAATTCTGCCTACCAACCTTTCCCTAATCATTCCATCTCCAAAAACAGACATCATGACTCACTCTGTGCCCACAGGTCATCATCCGATAGGTAAAGGATGCTAATGCAAAATGAACTATCTCAAATTTAATTGCTTAAAACACTGACATTTCTACTTCCCACAATTCTGTTGGTTAAACAGTGGTCCTTCCATTCTACTTGGTATTAGCTGGAATCACTCATGTAGCTACATTCAACAGAATGCCAGGTTTCAAAGCCCAGGAAAGCCACTTGGACTTATCTAGGATCTCAATATTGACTGCACTGAGGAGACTTAGTTCTCCTACAGGAAGAAGTGGTTATCTTATCCTCCAGTCCTTCATATGGTTTCTTTCTCCAACAGGATGGCTTTCTTTTCTTACTCAATGGCAATTGAGCTCCAAGAGGAATGTTTTCTTTTCTTTCTTTTTTTTTTTTTTACCGGTACCAGGGATCGAACTCACACCCACCCGCTAGCAAGGCTGGCGTTTATACCACTGAGCTAAATCCCCAGCCTGAGGAATGTTTAAGAAGATAAAACCAATGCGTAATCATCTGCCAAGCTTGCACGATACTTATTATTGCTAATATCCTATTGCTAAAGCCAATCCAAAGACCAGCAGAGAGTCACTTTGAAGGAGGAAAAAGAGTGCAAAAACTCATAAGCATAGTTTACTTGGAGCCAATCATCTAAAAATTGACATTGCAAGTTCTCTAATGAATTCTAGAACCTATTTGAAACATCACATGGTATGGGAAGTGTTGCCTGCTTCTACAGTATAAAACTGTGCTGTGCCCTATGGCTGTCGCACATTTTGATCAGGTATCTGATATAAATAATTTAGCACTTGTTATTTACTCAACACAACATGATACATTTAATTCTCTATTTTAAAAATGTTTACATTAAAGCCTATTTCAGTATTCCTATGGCTTTTTAATTTAGAAATTGCTGTAATAAACTTACTTACATTTATAAATGTAGTAAAGGTTTAAAAACTTCA